GTTACAACATGCAATTCAAAATTTATTATCCCTTGCATCTTAGAAATATAAGAAAGAACTTATTTTATTTATAATTTTTTACCTCGCTAAATTTAAAATTGAGTCCAAATAATAATGTGAAAAAATAATCAGTAAATTACTACCTTGTGAAATTAAAAATTTTAACAAAATATCATATCTCAAAATTTCTTATCCCATACACCTTGTGCTGTTATGAGTCATTAAAAGCAAATTAAAAATAAAAATGTAAAATAAAAAGATAAATTAAAAAATCCAATAATTTTATAAAAAATAAATTCATTTCTATTTTTATTTAATTTTAAATTATAATCTAATTATATTAAATATTTTTACATTGACTAAGAAAGAAAAGGATTTAAAAAACAATTTAATTATTATAAAGTAGTACTTATTTAACATGACCCACCGAAGCGAATATTATACTTTCCTATGACAGCAGATATACATAGATTGGAAATATGTTTCTTGAAGGGGCCAAAACCTCGTATAAATAGTAACAAAACAATAAACGCGGTGAAGACAAACTGAAGGAGCTAGCTTCCTTTTGCTGTTTGTTACCCGATTAATACTTTTGTGAAGTTGTGGTGGGTGCGAGAGCAAATCAATAGGCAAGGATCACGGAAAATATTCTGTGTTTTGATTGATTCCATCTCTTCTTAGTTTTGTTGGGACGAGTCTACGCAGGGAGAGGCAGGTGAAATTTGGCTTCCTACTTGCTGAGGTTTGTGCTTTTCGCTGCTTCTTGTGTTCTCTGAAGGGTACTGAGGTTGCGAAATTCGTATTTTTCTTCAATTCTTTGATCTTTGGTCGGGTTTCTGATTCCTGGGTCCGTTTTGGATTATATATGAATGTTTTAATTTCATGAGTCTTTATAATATGGCTCAACAAAAAGAAGAAAATATTACGATTTTTTTTCTCAATTTCTAATTGACATGAGAAAGAAGTTAATGATCTTGATGGAAATTGGAAACCGATTGGGTTATAACTGATATTTGCGTATTCAATTAAAGCTATTCCTATGAACATCGCACTCTGTGAAGCATGCCATTGCGTTTGAGATGTTACACGTTTTCGTTCGTTTCTTTTGATCATGGGGCAAGTGTTGCCTTTTTTTCTGGAAATTTGACTTTGTCGTGTCACGAACGCTCCAACGTTGTGGTTGCAACCCAAAAAAAAAAAAAAGTTTTTTAATAGATATTTTACGAGATTTTGGACCTTGAACCAGAATGTTGCTGCGGTCGCTTGTTCATCCTGCTTTTAAATTTTAATATGCTGTTGAAACTTGCACCGCTTTTTTCCTATAAGATACATGTAGGATTTCATAAAAGAGTATTTTTAAAAACGGGTTGGTAGCTTTTGGAATCGTTCGCTGGATTTTATCCACTTTCTTAAACGGAAAGAAAAATGATCAAGGCACACGACATGGTTATTGCATATGATCTCATATGTGCGAACTGAAAGTAGAAGGATTTTGATAGAGCCCCTCATTATTTTACTAAGACATATCAAAGGAAGTCAAAGGGGAAGAATGACTCTAGTAGAATAAGGATGACTGGTCCAGAGGTTTATTCTTCGGTCTCTAGCCGCAAGGAACAGTAGCATGTGATCTTTTGCCATAATTAAGATCTGTTGGGAGGTATGGGCTAAGGGGAAAGCCATGATGTCCATGCTGTGGTTATATTCTATCTTTTAGCTTGTATTGAGGGGGTATTTTTTGTAAGAGAATGGAGAGGAGAGACTGGCCTCTCGAATGCCAGGAGGAGTGAACCCTCTTGTGAGGTTTGAGCTTGTAATGTTGTTACTTTTGTGATCATTCAGGGGAGATTGGGTTTTGGCCAGAATCAGAGGAAAACTTGTAACTCTGATTCAGTTTCTCTCAATTTATTAATATCAAAACCTCAGCATTTTCCCCTTATTTATTGTTTTTACTATCTTTGTTGCTGTTTCTGTGGAGATATTGGTTTGGGTCTTATTAATTGGTACCAGAGCAGTACGAATTTTGGGTAGTTAAGAGAAGTTATGGCGGAGGAAGTGCAGTATTCTGAGCGAGAAGTACAAGAGTTGAAGGAGGCAATCGGGGTATTGAATAGGGATGTAAGTGACATTAAGGGAACCTTGAAGACTATTAATGATACTCTGGCACAACTAGAAAAGAAGGTGGCAAGGCCACGTGGGGAAGAGCAAGAAGGCACTCATCATGCAGAATCTTCTGAGAATAATACAGGGGGTGGGACAGAAGGAGGTAAGTTTCGAAAACTGGAACTACCTGTATTCTCAGGTGAGGATCCTCTTGGGTGGCTTTTCAGAGTGGAATGGTACTTTCACGTTAACTCCATAGCTGAACATGAGAAGCTCGAAGCAACAGTAATATGTCTGGAGGGAAAAGCAGTGAACTAGTACCAGTGGCTTGATATGCGAGTACCATTGAGTAACTAGTTGGAATTTAAAAGGGAGTTGCTGCGGCGATTCCACTCTTCACAACCTGGTGGTGAGTATGAGCGACTATTTACAGCTAAGCAAGAGAAGTCTGTGCTAGAATTTGTAGAGGAATTTGAACTATTATCGGCGCCATTAAAAGAAGCTTCCGAGGAATGTTTGATCGGTGCATTCAGTCTGGACTCAAGACAGAGATTAGGGCTGAGCTGAAGGTGATGAAGGCTGCGACTCTGTAGGAACTGATGGAAATGGCAGTATGTATTGAAGAAAGAAATCGGATGTTGGATGACTGCAGGGACACGAGAGGAACCTGAGTTCAGCGGACCCATTTTGGATCCAAACCCGATTCGACCTAGGTCACTTATTTTCCATACGTGACTCATGTGACTGAGGGAGGAAGGAACGCTAGTGTGGTCGCGTCTTCTCCCGCGGACGGTGCAAAGAAAAATGACGCTAGAACAGAGCCTTTGAAGACTGGGAGCAACATCAATTTTGAAACCACAGCGAGGAGAGGAGGAAATTCTCGCTGACTCCCTGATTCTGAAATTGCAAGACGTAGAGAGCTTGGGCTTTGTTTCAAATGTGGCGACAAATACAGCCCCACTCATAAATGTAAAAATAAGAACCTTCAAGTGGTGATAATGGAGTTAGGAGCCAACACAGAAGGCGAAGAAGATGATACAGCACTTGAAATTGACGGTGGATATCTTGAACCTACTGAGGACGGTACGCAGATGGAATTATCTCTTAATTCCATGGCTAGGTTTAGTGATAACCACACCATGAAAGTCAAGGGGAAGATTGGAGACACACATATAATCATTCTCATTGACAGTGGTACCACCTATAACTTTATTGCTGAAGATTTGCAGAGTAAGTTAAGTCTACCCTCTGATGAAATTTCTGAATACACCATTACAGTAGGGGATGGGTATGCTATAAAAGGTAAGAGGCGTTGTAAGGATTTATGTTTAAGTGTTTAGAATCTTAATATAGTCCAAACTTTCTACCCTTTTAAGCTGAGTGGAGTTGATGCAGTGCTGGGAATGGAATGGCTGAAATCCTTAGGAGATGTTAAGATTAATTGGAACCGATTAACAATGAAAATTGGCAACAAGGATAAGAGAGTATGCTTGCAAGGGGACCCCTCCCTTACTCGGGCCCAAACCACATTCAGATCTCTAATTTGTTCAGTAGGTAAGAAAGGAGAAGGGTTTTTGATTGAATATAGAGGTTTTACTAGCAAAACTGAAGATACAACAATCTTGATCCCCGAAATTCAGAATTTGCTAGAAAAATTTCCTACAGTCTGCGAGGTTTTGGAAGGCCTACCTCCACCGCGAGCACAAGACCACGCTATCATAATTAAGCCAGGGGAGCAGCCACCAAATATCAGGCCTTATCGGTACCCTCATTTGCAGAAGAATGAAATAGAAAACTTGGTGAAAGATATGCTGAAGTCAGGAATTATTCAACCAAGTACTAGTCCTTATTCAAGCCCGGTACTGTTAGTTAAGAAGAAAGACGAAAGTTGGAGGTTTTGTGTTGATTATAGAGCCTTAAATAAAATTATTGTTCCGGATAAGTTCCCAATCCCAACCATTGACGAGTTGCTAGATGAATTGAAGGGAGCGACAATTTTTTCCAAGCTGGATTTGAAATTTGGGTACCACCAAATTTGAATCAAGATTGGGAATGAGCCTAAAACAGCATTTCGAAAACATGAGGGGCACGATGAATTTAAGGTGATGCCTTTTGGATTAACTAATGCTCCTTCCACTTTTCAATCAATGATGAATTAGGTATTTAGAGAGTACTTACGCAAGTTCGTGTTGGTGTTTTTTGATGACATTCTCGTATATAGCAATGGCCTAACCTCACATTTGAAGCATTTGGAGACTGTTTTCTCTATCTTGAAGGAAAACCAGCTTGTTATTAATTTAAAGAAATGCAGTTTTGTGCAACCAAAGATCGAATATTTAGGCCATCTAATATCAAAAGAAGGGGTGCAAGCCGATCCAAGCAAGATAGAAAGCATGGTGAAGTGGCCTAAGCCTAAGAATGTAAAATCTTTAAGGGGATTCCTAGGGCTGACTGGATGCTATTGTCAATTTGTCAAGAATTATGGGAAAATTGCTAGTCCTTTTACTGATCTACTCAAGAAGGATTCTTTTAAGTGGTCCCAAGAAGCAGAAAAAGCTTTTGATCAACTCAAAACAACCATGACTACACTACCTGTGCTTGCCATGCCTGATTTCTCCATGCCTTTTGAGTTAGAAACTGATGCATCGGGAACGGGAGTAGGGGCTGTTTTGATGCAACAAGGCAGACCAGTGGCTTATTATAGTCAAAAGCTTTCAAATAGGGCTCAACAATGCTCTATTTACGAAAGGAAGCTTATGGCTATTGTAATGGCAGTCAAGAAGTGGCGTCATTATCTTTGGGGGCACAAATTTATCATCCGCACTGATCAAAAGGCTCTGAAATACCTGCTGGAGCAGAGAGTAGTTGATGAAAACCAGTAAAAATGGGTCTCCAAATTGATGGGATTCAAATTTGAAATTGTGTATAAGCCCGGGAAGGAGAATAGGGCTGCTGATACTCTATCTAGGCAAGACGAGTCACTTGAACTAATGGGATTTTCATTATGGCAGTATGATGATGTGGAAGAATGGGAAAGAGAGGTACTAGCTGATCTGAAATTGAGCAAAATTCTGCAGCAACTCATTACCGATAAAGAGGGGGTAGAAGGGTACAGCGTGATACATGGCTGTCTACACTACAAGGAGAGGTTAGTTCTACCAAAGGAGTCCACCAGAATTCCTTTGCTCCTTAAAGAATATCATGACTCCCCAATGGGGGGCCATTCGGGCTACTTACGCACCTACAAGCGGCTGTCCAATGTTTTGTATTGGGAGGGAATGAAAAGAGATGTCTAGCAATATGTGGCAAGTTGTGAGGTGTGCTAGAAGAATAAATACCACGCTTTATCCCCGGCTGGACTGCTGCAACTATTGCCTAGTCCACAAAATGTGTGGGAGGATATTAGCATGGATTTTATTACCGGACTTCCTAAATCCAAGAGGTATGACACAATACTAGTTGTGGTGGACAGACTTACCAAATATGGCCCTTTTTTTCCATTATCCCACCCTTTTTCTGCCAAAGATGTTGCTGAAAGCTTTATAAGGGAGATTGTCAAGTTGCATGGTTTCCTAAAACTATTGTTTCAGATCGAGATAGGGTTTTTATAAGCCACTTTTGGCAGGAATTGTTCAAGCAAGCCAGCACGCAACTCTGTCTCAGTTCCTCTTATCATCTAGAATCAGATGGGCAAACTGAGGTGTTAAATAGAAGCTTAGAAACTTACTTGCGTTGCTTTGCAAATGAGAAGCCTTCACAATGGGCTAAATGGCTATCTTGGGCTGAGTATTGGTATAACACTTCCTATCATGGGGCAGCCGGTATGACACCCTTTAAAGCAGTGTATGGTCGGGATTCTCCGGCATTCTTGAAGTTGAGTGGTGAACCTTCAGCTATAGAGGATGTAAACGAGCAAATTCAGGCTTGGAATCAGATCATCTCCCTTTTACGGGACAATTTGGCTAAGGCTCAAAGCAAAATGAAAGAGCAAGCCAATAAACATAGAAGAGATGTCCAGTTCAATGTTGGAGATTTTGTCTATGTGAAATTGAGACCTTACAGGCTGAAAATGTTGGCTAAGAGAGTCAATGAAAAGTTGAGCCCTCGTTTTTATGGCCCTTTCAAGGTTCTTGCAAAAGTTGGGAATGTAGCCTACAAACTGGAATTACCACCCACAGCTCGCATTCACCTGGTATTTCATGTTTCACAGCTGAAACAATCTGTGCCTTCGATAGTGGTGAATCCTACCATTCCTCCAGCCCTTACTAGTGAACTAGAACTACAAGTGCAGCCCGAAGATATTAGAAGGGTTCGTCGGCTTATGAATGGACAGCAAGAAGTGTTGGTTAAATGGCATGATCTACCTGAATTTGAAAATTCCTGGGAAGGTGCAGGCCTGATTTGCAAACAATTTCCAGCATTTCCCCTTGAGGATAAGGTGAAACTTTAGGGGAGGGTAATGATAGAGCCCCTCATTATTTTACTAAGACATATCAAAGGAAGTCAAAGGGGAAGAATGACTTTAGTAGAATAAGGATGACTGGTCCAGAGGTTTATCCTTCGGTCTCTAGCCGCAAGGAACAGTAGCATGTGATCTTTTGCCATAATTAAGATCTGTTGGGAGGTATGGGCTAAGGGGAAAGCCATGATGTCCATGCTGTGGTTATATTCTATCTTTTAGCTTGTATTGAGGGGGTATTTTTTGTAAGAGAATGGAGAGGAGAGACTGGCCTCTCGAATGCCAGGAGGAGTGAACCCTCTTGTGAGGTTTGAGCTTGTAATGTTGTTACTTTTGTGATCATTCAGGGGAGATTGGGTTTTGGCCAGAATCAGAGGAAAACTTGTAACTCTGATTCAGTTTCTCTCAATTTATTAATATCAAAACCTCAGCATTTTGCCCTTATTTATTGTTTTTACTGTCTTTGTTGCTGTTTCTGTGGAGATATTGATTTGGGTTTTATTAGATTTGAATTAAATGACCCAGTATATAGGGACAACTGTTGCGGAAACTAGAATTATACAAAGAAAATGTGCTTTTGTCTCACTTTATAAACTCTTCATGAACACAACTTTTTCTGTTGTTGAAAGTGCAATCCCAACTGAATATAGTGCTTTGGTGTTTTTTGCTCGTGATTATTATATTTCATTGTGCCTGTGTTTATTATATTCCACAGTTAGTTTGGTATAAGGTTATAAAACGCCTTATATTGTGCCTCCACTTCTTAGGATCCAATTCTCTGAAGCTAACTTTTTCCTTCTCCCATCTTGTGGCATGTCTTGATTTTTAAGCGAGTTTAACTTTTGCATGTTTAATATACATCTTGATCATTGCATGATCTCTGGACAGCCTGGTGCATGATCTGCAAAATGGGTCCTGACGTAGAACTGAACGGGAAGATGGAATCTGCCCCAGAAGTTCACTTCAGTGAAGAGATTGTACCTGCCCCTCCATTTTTTGAGCACAAAGATTTTCGATCTGCTGTTGATAAGTCTAATGCTTATACCACTGAAGCATTGCCTATTGAACAAACTCCTTTGTCTAATGGAAATGAGGACGTGGAAGTTAACATAACTGGTTGCTCAAATTCTGGGAAGACATTGGTTGTTGATGTTGCTTGTGAGGATGTCACGGAGTATTCTAGTTCTTTTGGTGATACGTTATCTGGCACAGGGAATGAGAATTGTGCAGTATTCAGTGATGTTGAAGTCGAATCACAGATACACTCTGGGCATGCAACCTCGTCCATGCTTGATGAGTGTTTTGAATCATTTCAAATAAGGTATAATTTAAATTTTATTGTTTCTTGCATCTAGTCTGTCTTGTGACTCTTTTTTGGTCTTTGTGAAGCAAGATAACAGAGCTGGAAAAAAACAAAGGAAAATGAACATATTGTCACATTCTTTTACGGGTACACAATACGACATCAGTAGCAAGAAGAAGCCTTATCCCACTAGTTGGGGTTGGCTATATGGATTACACTATGCCATTGTACTCTATATCTACCTAGTTTTCAGGAATATTGTTTACTAAAAGGTCTCGTTCAACAATTTTCATAATTGTTCTTTTGGTCTTTCTCTATCCCTCTTTAGAAGGCGCAAGATTATTCATTCTACTTTCCTCACCGGTACCTCCCACATCCTTCTTTGTACAAGTCCAAATCATCTAAAATGATTTTCTACTATTTTCCCTTCAATGGATGCCATGCCCACTTTTTCTCGCATATGTTCATTTCGAATTTTATCTTTTCATGTATACCCACATGTACATCTCAACATTCTTATCTCTGCTACTTCAACTTTATGCTTCTGTTATCCTTTTAGAGTCCAACATTCACACGGGGTGTTTGATTAGAAGGCCAATTATTGATATGTTTCACCCTATTGACTATGCAGGAAAAAAAAACTGACTAATCATTGGAGGAGGTTTATACATCCTCTGATGTGGCGTTGTAAATGGATGAATTGCAGCTGAAGCAACTTCATACTCAGGCACTTAAACATGATAAAGAGCTTGCAATATATGACCATAGAAAGCAGCACGAATTTGCAAAATTTACATTGGATGGTTTTGGTACCAAGTCAGTACCTTTTACCGGTTCAATTGGTAGGAATAAAGTGATGACGAGGAAAAAACGAAAGAGAGTTGAAGCAGAATGTGATTTGGCATCATATATGCCTAACCATAGCTTTTTCTCCTACTATGGTATGAATTTTCTTTATTGGATCCTAATGTATCTTACTTCAGTGATCTTATGATTTGATTTCTCATTTCCCAGAAAATAAAAGCTCTACTGATGTTGCTCATTTGAAAGATGCACCTGGTGTTGCTACAGGTAAGTTTGCACTTGTAAATACGAAATCATTTTTCTTGCTTGTTCAACAATTTGCCTAATTTAAGATTGTGAAACGAAGAAAAGTTCAATGTATTTGATAAACAAGTTTTACTCTTCAACATTATGTAATTACTAAGAAGATTGATGATATGTTTTCATCATATGTTTCCATGAGTTTCAAACCCTACAATGTTATTTATAATTTTATATACACCTAACACTACATCCTTTTTCATTAAGGTAATGCTGTTAATACTGGGGAGTTCAGGTGGAATGATATTTTGTCATCTCTTGAATCTAAAGATAGTGATAAATCCTTGAAGGACATTATTCTAAAGATTGAAGCAGTGCATGAACAAGTTCACAGATTGAAAACTCGGATTGACACAGTCATTAGTGAAAACCCAGGGAAGTTCACTTCTGTTAATAAGTTGAGCATGCATGAGCCATCTGACGGACTGAATCACTTTGAAAGATATCCTACTTCTCCAGCAAGTGCTAGAAGCAAAAATGCATTTCCTGTTAGATCTGTTAAAACTGAGTTTAATATGGGAGATCTGCTAATGCCTGGAAATGAAGTATCAAGTTGTGTAGAGATGTCTCCTCTTATTGAGACCACCACTAGGCCTCAGCATGAGGTTCTGTGGGAAGATGTAAGTATCTACTACGAAAGATGATATCAATTTTCCCCCCATCTTTTACTTCTGAGTATTCTTGATGATTTTTACCTAGTATTTTGGGTAGCGTCTGACTTTGGAAACCATTGGAATAACAAGCTTTATACTGCATGCACTATGCTCTTGTAAGTGCCATTTATATGATTTTATGTAAATGTCGTCCTCCATGTATGAAAGTAGTTAACTATGACTGAGATACTAGAGCACTCTTATTCAGCTTCCAGTTATTCTTATTTCTTTGTCAATATTTTCTATTACCCTTTTCTTGGAGCTTCTTGCCTCTTTATCTTACATGTAGTTTATGGTTTAAAGTGATTTCCATTGTAGCCCTATACAGTATTTCTGACATGATTTCGTAAACATATGAGTTTGGAGTGGAAGGAGAAGGACCACGGTGGAAGTTCAAAGAAAAGAATGGGCAGAGAAGGGAGGGTGATAGACTACTTCCTCTACTCCTTGGAAGATTTTGGATGATAAAAGAAACATCCTCCATTCTTCCTTCCTCCTTTAAGCCAACTCCCAAACAATGATATTTTCTTGCCCTCCATTAACCCTTATTTACAAGTATTGGAAGTGGGATTAGATTTTTTGGTAAAACATCTTGATGTGTTTGGAAATGAATGATTGGGATTTTGGAGTACAGTAGTTGCTGTTGACAGTATAATCCGGTTGATGGATTTCAGAGTTTGTTAATAAGGACATTATTCCTTATATTCATGCTTCTTGGAAGCTCTTTCTATTTGTTTTTGTAATCCACTTTCCACATTTACTGTCGTAGGATAGAATTCCAGTTAACACACTCGTGATGCTAAATGCTTTTGTGTGTGGCTTTTTGATAGAATCACTTTTCCTGCTCGGACCTATGAGAGGAAATTCAGGAAAATGCATGAAAGAGGAAAGGCACTTTCAGATGGTCGGAACGTTGACCTTACTTCTACTGTTAAGGAGAAAAAATAGGGCTGCTTTAGAGTTGTGGTAGACCTGACTTACGAGAGCATATTTTTGGAGACCGTGAGGGTTGTTTTTTGGGTTTATAGTTGTGGTTGGAACCTCCTTGCAGGTTGTCTTTCGTATCTTGAGTATGGTGAGGAGAGATTGGCCTCTCGAAAGCCAGTGACTGTGCTTGTGTTGGGTGTGACTGTGATTTGTCTTTGTTCTAGTGATTTCTGTTCTGTTACTGGGGAATAGGGTTTTGTATTGAATCAATGAGGTCTCTTGTAACTCTGATTCAGTATCTCAGTTCATAAACATCAAAACCTTAGGATTTCTCTTATGTTTTGCATCTGCTGTCTTAATTTTTATGTATGCAGCTTGTTAAATCAGCAGGGCTACACCTCTTTTCTTGTCTTTTCTGATACAGTTATGATTTAAAATTGTTTATTCAATAACAACAATTTTAATGCTTCAATCAGCATGTAATGATAGTAGTGTCGAGTATTTCCTTGTTTAAATTGAAGCTTTATTCTAATATCTTCCTCCTCTTATTATCTACAGACCAAGGATGGAGTTCTAATTCATAACCAGCTAGCCAAGGAAGAGCTGCAAACTTTTGAAAATGTTAGAAACGAGTTGTGAAAAAACACGGATGAGTCAGTTGAAGAGCGGAACGTTTCAGAACCAGAGTCGGCTACTGAGATTGCTGCAGCCAATTTGCAGCCTGCTGTTCAAGCATGTTCTACTTCAAAGTCAAGTCTTTTGAGGAACCGAAGGAGGAGGAAAGCGGAGATTGCGCTGAAAGGGGATGTGCTGGCTATCGTCTGGTTACAGCTAAATTTTAATAGAACAGTATTTTTGTAAGACAGAGAGAAACTGAGTTCTTTTTTGGGGGGAATTTTTGCCATCTTGTCATCTCTTGTAAATGCTAGTTAATATTGTTAATATTGTGTTTTCTTGCTCTCGCATTGACATTGGAGTTTATTTGTATATTATGTGCATATGTGAAGTCCACTATTTTTTAAGTAAGCCCGTGCCATCTTATTCGATGGATCTCAATAAAATTACTGACTACCTTGTGTATTTGGAGGATTATTTTAAATGTTGTGATTATTTTGCTTTTCCCCTGAGATTGTTGTAATTTTCGTTGAAGCTACTTTGCTAGTCTTATTTGAAGGACAGAGAGAAAATGTTAATTTTGATTTTATTTATAGAGTTTTTATTATTTTGCGTACATCTTTAATTTTTTACTCTTATTAAATATTAAAAAAATTATTAAAATAGTTTTTTTTTGTTTTTATTAGGAGATAGAGGTGGAAATTTATTACATTTTACGATAGAGTTAATAAGGTTAAATTTTTTTTAGTTCCAGCAAAACATGTTAAAAAGTGGCTTTTAAATATGATTAAAGAGAGTATATTGTTACTTCTTATATTGGGATTTGAAAAAATTTGATTTCATTAATTTGTTGAGAATGTTATGAAAATTAGATCACGTTGGTCAATTAAATCCGTTAGACTAGGAATTGATCACATGTTCGATATGGAAATGTGAGGAAACTGGAGGATCAAAGAATCGGTCAAATCAGTAGTGATTAATTTAACCGGTTGAACCGTTCTTTTTTTTTTTTTAAATTTTAATTCATGTTTCAAAGTTATAATCTTTGCATATTTTTGTCTTCTGAGTATTGAGGAAGGAAGAAAAATAAAAAATAGGAAATAAATATGCAGGTACATATTCTAAAATTGTAAATTATCAAATAACTATATATTTGGATGAAACTATGGAATACTGAATACTGCAGTGTTTCTTACTATATATTACTTTTGTTAGATTTAAATATTTATTTATATTTATATTATAAAAATGATCATATCCTCTAATTTTAAGCCTATATTATTTAAAATATATTAATTTATTCATAATCAATTCAACTACAATCCAATTATTAGATCGTGAATTGTTGCCTCAAGTGGTTCAATGTTTGGTGCAGTTTTATTAACCTTATTTATTGCTCTACCCACAACTTTCCAATTTTCCAAGGCATACAAAATCATATTTTCCTCATCTTAAATTATAAGATATTTTTGATAAAATCTCATATGTCAATAAAACTCATTAATATACTTTACAACCTTACTTTTTCAAGATAAAAATATAAACTTTTAAAAAATGGCCTTCATTTACTTTATTGATGAAAGAATATTGAAGAAAGAGAATACATGGGAAGGGTAATATTGAAAAAGTATTATTAATAAAATCTTATTTTTATCAAAGTATCTTATATTTTGAGACAAAAGGAATATAATGAAAGCTATCATTGTTAGTTATTTTAAATATTTTCACGATATTTCAAAAGGAACTTTTATTTTGATTGATAATATTAATTATCATTTAAATCTATTTATCTTGTAACTTATAATTTGAATGATATTATTCTTTGAAACCATTTTTCTAAGTGCATTAATAAGTAATAATTGCCCAATATTCTTGAGCTTTTGCCTATAAAAGGCGGTGTAGATCACATAGTAGGTGATCACTGTCCCAATCTTTTGTGCACTCTCCTCACTTCCCCACTTCATGCTCCTCTTTGGTTATTCTGTACTGTTTTATCATGCTGTTCATTTTATAGGAAGATTTTTACTTACTCTTGAAAGCTTTGACAACTATATTGGAATTGCTCTTAAAATTTAATCGCAATGAGTTATTTTGGGATATGATATAAATTAACTTATTTGACATCATAGACGATACATTTGATAAAATCACCTAAATGAATGTAGAATGGGGCCGCTTTTATGAGATTGTGGTGAAATGTTTAACTTATTTGTCGACATACTAAGTGCGTGCATGGCATCAAAGTGAAAAATTGCTATTAACAGGAGAAATTATAGGGGATATGATTTGACTACTAAGGCCTCTAATATATATTTAAGAGTTGTTGGTTCATAGAAGTGTGCTTGACTAATTTCTCTATATACTAAGTAGTATTGGTTTAGGTCTGGTTCAAAATTAAAAGATATCAAATTCGAAATAATTATATTTGATATAAATAACTTAGATGATAATATTTCTTCTAACACATGGGGATATTGTGTGGAGTTATAAAATTAAAATTCTACATTTATTGGGCAACTATATGAGCTTAGAGGAGAAGTAATACTGAGCAATATTATTTTGTGAAGTTATAAAATTTTTTCTTTGAAATATGTGGGGATTGTTGGATATATTTTAAATATTCTAATGATGTTTCATAAGGAACTTTTATTTTGATTAATGATATTACTTATCATTTAATATATTTATCTTGTAATTTATAATTTAAACACCATTATTCTTTGAAATCATTTTTGTAAGTGCATTAATTAGTGATGCTTGCCCAATGTTCATGAGCTTTTGCCTATAAAAGGTAGTGAAGATCACATAGTAGGTAGTCACTGCTCTGATCTTTCGAGTACTCTTCTCTCCTCCTTATTTCGTGCTTCTCCTGGGTTATTTTGTATTTCTGCTATGTTCTGTCACCCTACTCAGTTTACAAGAGGTTTTTACTTAATCTTAAAAAACTTTGACAACTGTGCCAAATTATTTTTAAAGATAGTATCCCTAGACATGACTAAAAAACAGATTTTTACCAGCTATGCCAACAATCATTCCCTTCCCTTGTATTACATGCCTCCCCGACTTCTCGATTACGATTAGGTGAAGCGGGACTTCAGGATTTTAAAGCACCCAAGAGTCTGTCAAGTCATGCTTGGGCAAGGAGAGACGATGCAGAAATGTTAACCGTCTTGAAGGAGAGAAATAGGTCCCGGTGATAACTTTAAAAGTAAGCTTTTTTTTTTTAATTTTATTTGGGACCTTGAAAAAGTAAGCTTTGACCTCGTAGTGTTCTCTATGTCGACTCCAATAATCAATTCTACACCGGCCGCCTCGATTTCGGCTCAGTCAGATGCTTCCTCTTTGGAGAACTATCTGATTTAATGAGAGCAATGATGGAGTGAATTATTTTGAAACATATCCATCCTATCGATTAGCCTGAGCACGAGGGATTATTGTGGAACTTATGATCTGTGATACAAAATCTTCCCTCTTTTACTTGTGAATATTCTTGAAGATTTTTACCTTGTGTTTTGGGCAGTGTTTGACACTGGAAACCCTTGGAATAACAAGGTTCTTTGCGCTTGCAGGTTTTTGCAAATGCCATCTCCGTGACTGAAAAGTAATTTACAATTAATGACTAGACATGGCACTTATATATATTCCATTCCCCGTTACTCTCATTTGTTTCTCAATATTTCAATTGAACTTGATGGATGGTCTTTCAATTCGATCTTTTGTATCAAAGTCCTGTATTCAATGCAACTTGTGGTGGGTAGTTTCTCAATTGACTTCCATTACAGCACTGTTCTTTTTTTTAAATAATCGTTTAAATAGAAGAATTCAGTCAAAGGATTATTAGCAATCCAATCCATGCTTATTGGAAACACTTTCAATACACAACATGCATAGACAAATGAAATTGAAACTTCAGACATTATATAGTTTGATTGATTTAGGAAATTTGCTTCAAAGTAGTGGAGAGCTTGCATCCCATAAGAGCCAAGAGAGTAGCAGAAGGGACAAAGAGAAGATCAGGCACCACTTTCATGATTTTAAGTTGAGGCAGAGACTCTCCTGCTCTCTTAGCTGCCATGGCTGCTGGTGGAGCTGCCAGTCCTGCTAGCATCACGAGCTTATCTGCGCTCTTCATTTTTACGTTTTTCACTATGAAATCCTCCACCATCTTCTTTTTCTTCGCAGGAGGAACTGTTTCTTCTTTCCATTGATGATATAATTTCTGTTCCCTCCAAACATTTTACAGGTTAAAAACACTTTTTTTTGTTTTGTTTAAAATAAGTCCTCTTTATTTCTTTAAATATACTCAACACAACTTTTCCTTGAACTTTATTAAAATCACAAGCATCCTCTTTTTTTACCCCACTTGCATGCAATTACTTGAAGTAGAAATATATGATAAATATTTTGCCAAATGCATATTTTGTTTCTGTTTTTGCAGAAGATCAAAAGCAGTCGACAATATTACCATCCTATTTTCCTGGGAGATTCAGTTTTTACAGAATTTCAAATTGTTCTACAACTTTTGTGCATTTCTCAATATTCTCTATAAAGCAAAATCCTAATTATGGCCCCAAATATGAGAAGATGCATGCATAGAAAATTACAGCAGGCATTCAAAATTTGTTTTTATAATGTTATCGTCACTAAAAAATTATCCCTAAACTTAATAATCTACTAACTTTGAACAACAAATATGTGTGGATATTGAGAAGTACGGATTTTAGATGAAAAATCTAATGATGAGGCAAAAATTAGATTATGTTAGAGCCAAAAAAAAGTGAGAGGGAAAAATTACTTAGTTTTCTTAACAAAAAAATGAAATTAAAATATTTTGTTGAATCAGAAAAACTAACGAACTAAAATTAAGCAAATCATAAACTGACCTCGATTTCTTCGCGATTTGGCACATATTCATAATGCCTGCCCGGAACGACTGCGTTGACAGTGCTGCGTAAAATTTACTGGTGTTAAACTAAAGAAATATGCATACAGAACACAGTTCCTATCGTCTGGTAATCATTTTTGAGGGAGAAAAACAGAAAAATATTCTCAAAATATGCAAATGATAATTAAGTACTGTGAAATGTCATATTTGTTTTATAGTCTCTGGAACCTATTTATAAATTAATTTTAATGTGCAAGACCATTTTTATTCTTTTGGAAAATAAAAAAGATAACCATAAGAATTTTTAATTTGTTGTTCTGGTCTAATTATTTCTCCAAGAAAACTAGTTATTTTCCAAAAGAAAGTGGTAACTATTTTAGTCCTCGGACTTTATTAATAAAAAAATTTATGCAAAGTAAATTATAATTTACAAATAGTCATTTTTCAAAAGAAAAAGTAACAGTAACTGATTTTTAATTATTAGACTTCACTAATAAATTTTAAAATAATGGCAAATATGTCATTTTACAAAAATAAAAATATCAAGCAAGTCCCTAAGGACTAGAAAATGATTATCATATTTTGTGGTGCCTCATTGTTATTTGTATATTTTGAGAGTAATTTTTTTCATTTTTCCCTACTTTTTATTAATTATATAATTTTTGAAATATACGAACTTTTAAAAATATTTTATACATTAACATAATTTAATTTTTTTACCAAATTACTCTCCATTAAAATTTTTAATTAGAAATATGTATTTAGATTGATAAAGAACATTCAATTAAAAAATTAAAACTAAATTAAAATTCAAAATATATTTTTATTTGAGTAAATATTGTGTAACTTTCAATATAAAATATCGAGTATCGCGCATGTATGGCTTGAACATTTTTTTGTTCTTCTAATGATTTTTTTACCATTCACTAAGGTATTAAAATGTTACGGAAATAAAACTACGATTTAATAATAAAAAAGCCACTCCATATACTGTGTAAATCAATGATAAAAAGTATCTAAATAATCTCAATTCCAAAGTATAGTACCAAAGCTCAGAGGTCCATGTCAGCCCTTTTGTGAACTAATTGTTTCGATTTTTTAATTTTCTTCTATTTTTTCTTCAGCAAGTAAAATCGATTAAATAATCATTGAAACAAAAAGGGATGCATTTCATACTTCTTTTGCAAACGAACTTCTGAATATAACAGCTGGTCAAGAAAAACTTTCTGGATATAACAAAACAACTATGGAGTTTTTCAAAAGAAAGCTACATCATCGAAAGATTTATATATTTTTTAAAATTGGCATGAAACTTGGGGTGAGCTATAACAAAACAGTATGAAATATCTTTTAAGAGTATGTTAATATTCCCTCTATCCTAATTTATAAAATATTTTTAGACAAAATCATATATATTAATAAAGATCATTAAATATATTATATAATTTTATTTTTAAAAATTTTAAAATATCCTTCATTTAATACTTAGTTTAAAGAGAGAGAATATAATTGAAAGAATGATATTAAGAAAATATCATTAATAATTTTATTGTTATCAAAGTTTTATATTTTGGGAAGGTGAATCAGCAAATTTTCTTTAAAAATATCTTATAATTTGAGATAGAGAGTATAATTTGAGGTAAAGATGGTTAAAATTATAAGCAGAAGCTTACTTGATGATCTGAAGAAAGGCAATGTGGAAGTCATCAAAGCTGAAGTTCTCGATTTTCACATCGCCAATGAATTTATCGTAGAGTGGATGATATAGGATGCTCTTCCCCTGGGTTAGTGATACTGCACGGATTTGCCAAATTAAATCGGAAGCCGATTAACACACGCGCGCGCGCGAACATGAAAGCAAAACACCAAAATGCAAGGGGCTTTAATAGGCTGGCACTAGAGCATTATATGATACATTGAGAAAATATAGAGCCCAGAATATATGAAAGAAAATGGCCGAACCTTCCCACCCATGAAACTCGCGACCGACCCCATGATATGATCGATGTTCTGAGTCTTGCAATTAGTTCCGAAGCACAATGCCTGTCATCAATCAAAAAACTTAACATATAATATATATATATATAGGTTAGATAAATAGAAGGGGAAAAGTATAACAAGAAAATATGGGCATCTCTGTTGGTTGAGTGAAAGCAAGGAATGCTTTTTCAGGCTTCAAATAATATCATCTGCTTTTCCTGATTCTAAAGTCCGATTCCGGGCTTGGAACATGCATGAAGGGAGGGATATTTAGAAACTGGATTATGTGATAAGTAATTGCAAAGATTCCAGTTTTTGATTATGTTTTAATTGGAATCAGTTTCAATGCTCATCATACATTTATGAGCATTGAAAGCTTATCATATTTGTACTGTTAAATTTAATATGAATGGTCCAAATTTATAACTTTTTATTTAGATTTTAAAAAAATTTAATGGATAAAAAAATTAAAATAAAAACAATATCTTAATTGTCAGTTTTTTTGAAAATAATTTTTTATTAAAAAAAAACCACTTGAAAAGCTGTAAATATGAACTATCCAGATTAGATCTAAACAATTAGAAGAAATGAGCTCTCAATATTAATTAGTATGATAAGCATTGAAACTGAATCCCATCTTTAATAATAATGTAAGTCAATCCATTATTTTGCCAATTGTTTTGATTTACTGTCAAAAGATATAATATATTTTGAAGATCGATGACTAATTTATACAATTTTCTTCTTGTCCTACAAAATTACAAATAGTTAATATATTTTGAAAACATACCCTGATTGCTAACAAGACTTGTTAGAGTTTTCGACTTTCATTATTTTCCCCTCTGACTATTTATGCGATTTGATATGTTAGAAGTTAAAAAAAATATTTGTTAGGACTTCTATATTATAAATAAAAAATAGATGATAAAACAATGGGATCATCCGTATGTTGCGGAAAAATATTGTATTGAAGTTCAGACCAGTAAATGGTCTAGTTGATTCGGCCAATTGATTAAACCAGAAAATGATTAACCTGGTTTAACCTGATTAGTCGGGGATTAACCAGTGTGACCGTCTAGTTCTTTAACCCTCTCATTCTTCTTTTTATCAGAACTAGACGCAAAGTTGGTTTTCAACCGGTCGAATAAGACAATACTTTGTTTATTTTTGTTAATCAATATTTCTGTTTAAATACAAATTATACATATTACTTTCCGTGTTCGGCCATATCATACATTTGTTATCTTGTTATCAACGAAATGTATTCATTTATAGTGAGTTTCGATTAATGAGAATTTAAATTTAAATCAAATATCTCACTTAAAAATCATAAAAATTTTTGAATTTAAATTTAATTCAAATAAAAATTCATTTTAAATTATAATTGTTTTATAATTTTAAATTTCTTTACACCTTAGTAATTTAAAGTTTTAATCATTTCAAATATTTTTTATATCCTTATTATTAATACATATATAAACTCTTACATCTTTTCTTATTTTTTGTTGATTAAAAAATAAAAGTAACTTTATGATTTTTAATCTTTCATTTTTGTCTCTCCTTTTCATTTAATTTTTTTTGCACTACCTAAATAAATAATTTTAAATACATAAATTTTAAATATAAGATTTTAAATTTTAAATTTAAATTTAAATTTAAATTTATCAATTTAAAGGCTACTTTAATGAATTCGTGTGCAATAATTTATGCACGTGTGTGTATGCTAGATCCTATATATCGTTTTATTTAAAACCAAAACAAGAAATATTTAAAAATAATAATATTTACATACGTACGTACGTACGTACGTGTATGTTTGGATGAGCAGGATTCGGATCAAATGGTGCTATTGGTTGTATTGGAAGGGAAGTAGGGCGATCCTCTCCGTTCATCCAGTGAAGCTGAGAATTTCATTGGCTCCAAACTCATTTCACTGTGCTTGCTCCAGTTACGTCTTTGGTTTTTCTAAGGCTTCATTGTTGGACTTCTGATTAATTATTTTTCCCTTCGGTTAAGAAGTCCGATTCTGGTTTATTCAATGTACCCTTGAATTAAATGAGTCACTTATTAGGCTAACTATTTTGTCCGTCGGTTAAAAGGTGCGAGTTGATCATTTTGCCCTTCGATAAAAAGGCCCTTTTTTTTCCCTTTCACGTGATATCTTGAAATATTTAAATATGTTGTTCAGTTTACTCTTGACTAATCTGAATCCATGCTTAGACAAAGCCGAATTTTGATTATAAGTATACCCTTGAATTATCAGGTTAATTTTTTGGGAGAATGACAAAGGTTTAAAAGGGTTAATTAATTCAATTAGGTCCTAAGTATTAAACTTTAAAAATTTACAAATTTGACTCTTAATTTTACAATTTTGTTATAATAAATTTGTAATTTGTTTTTCAAATTTTAACATGATTGAAAAATAAATAAATTTATTTTTTTATTAAAATTTGAAATACAAGTTATAAATTCATCACAATAAAGTTATAAAATTAATATTAAATTTGTAAATTATTAGAGTTTGGCACTTGAGACCTAATTTAAATTAATTAATTTTTTTAAAATATTTCTGTCATTTTCTCTAATTTTTTTGTTCTTCGTGTAAAAGTTTCAACGATGGTTCACATCAATAGATCACAGGTGTGTTTCCCTTGTTCTCAAATATTGACATATTACATTTAATTTGTATAAAATAATAATAATTGATGAAAAAATAATTATTTAAAATTATTGATATTAGAGTTAAATGACTAAAAAATATTTTATAAAATCAAAAGACTAAATAAATTTTTGTACGTAATTAAAGAATTAAAAATGCACTTTAACTTATTAAAAAATATTATTTATCTTTTATTTATTATAAAAATAAATTTATGATGGAAATGAAATTAATATATATTTTTAAGTTCTCATATAATTTATTTGTATATTTATTTAGTTAATATTTATAATTATATTTTTAAAGAAAGAAATTATTAATATTTATGTTTGGTAAAAATGTTGCCCCATTAATAACTTTTTCTGGGTCCATCACCGCTGGCAACTATTTTTTTTTTTTTGGCGCACAAGAATTGTGGTTTGGTTTTTAGTTTCCTCTGAGTCGATAACATAACAAGATGCCAACTAAAACAAATTCGTTCCGTATAATTTTCTGCTCCCGTGGTTGAAGTTGATGCTCCGAGCCTATCTGAGTTGTCCGCTCCCGGTATCCCCAAACCCAGGCCACCCAATTTCATCAAGCAAGCAAGAAAACTTTGTCTTATTAATGGTTTAGAAGAATTACTCAACTCATGGATACCTTTTGCCTGCCTTTTGGTTAATCCTTTTGAAAAGACTCAGATGATTTTTACTAATATGCTTATTGAAGAATCTTATTCTGCTCAAGTTATATAATTAGCCATTGACTCAGATTCCTTACAAAATGATTCATGCTGAGATCCATTTATTACCTCTCAAATTTTATGAGCTTTTACACTATATTAATGGGCAATCATAGTGAAAGTGATGCAGGATGGATTATGTTTCAGTGTTGATATAATTAGATAAACTTATAACAAAGTTAATCTGTAGTTGAGTAAAGGAGATATAGCATACGTTAGTAATGATCTTTTAATGAAATTAATATGAAGAAATCGCTTTAATAATTGCTAGCTGGGCAGCATGGATTTATTGGATCGAGTTAACTTGGATATCCTTAGGTAACTGATGCGATGAGAGTTGATGAGGTATAAATAAAATACAATAGTAACCTTCTATGTGCACAGGTTAACAAACTATTTACATTTCATCCTCGGCTAGAGTTGAATGAACTTTGGTGGCAAGAGATGTAGCCGAAGTAGTTCTATTCTTCTTCCCAAGTTTACTGAAAAGATGTAGTCTGTTCTGCTTGCTAGCGTGTTTTTCAGTTACCCATTCGGTAGATTCATCGCCATTTTAACATTTGTTGTGTCAGTCATGTGTAAAGCAAATGTTGCAATGTCTAAAGGTTGTCTTATTCATGCTTAATATCAGCATCAAAGTTTAAATGCTCACGGATCACTCTTTCACACTTTCTGATTTGATTTGTACATCTCATGTACGTGCATAAGAACGCTACAACTATGTTCAATTGAGAATTATGGCTATCATGATGCTTTTTGACTTTGATAATGTCCCCAGTTTCAAATGGTAGCAAGTTTTTGGATGTTATAGCAGCTGCCAAACATTGTATACAAAGGTACTGTCAAAGATAAACTAGCAATATTATAGATGGTATGGAAACATTGAACTCTTATCACCATCCATTGCACGTTGAGTTGTTAATTTGGTTACACTTAATTTGCTAACAAATCATTTGATACATTGCTTTTCTTTCAAGGGGTTAAAAGTGTCTATGGACTGAAAATACTTATGATTCTATAAGAATTGAAGACAACTACAAAAAATGTGCACAAGGAGAGCTTTCAAAATTGTGATGGATGTTATAGAGCTTCTCTGACTTTTGTAATGCCTTGGACCAAAAAGTTAACATGAGGAAATCCAAGCTCTTTTGTTTCAAAAGTCAATATTAATAGAGCTACTCAGATCAGTGATGAATTGGAAATTCCTCTCACAGGAAATTTTGACAAACAATCTTGGAATTCCACTTATCCATGAAAAGGCTTCCAAGCTTACCTTTACTCCCTTACTCGAGAAAACTTGTTCTCATCTTACTAATTGGAAAAGCCATTTTCTCAACATCATAGGAAAAGCTACCTTAATTCATTTTGTCCTTTCGGCATCCCTAGCTACACCATGTAGACCATGCTGCTTCCTAATAATGTCTTGCCTGAACTAGAAAAAAAAAACTTTAGAAACTATCTTTGGGACACTTCTAATGGTCACAAAAATGCCATCTTCTTTCCTGAGGCTGTGATACCAAGGAAAAAACTAATGGGGGCCTCAAGATTAAAAATCTTAAGTCTCAAAATATTGCCTATATCATGAAACTTTGCTGGGATCTTATCACTTGGAATAGTATATGTAAGGTTTGGGAGAATTTCATGACACACGTCGGTTGGAAAGTTGGTAAGGGAGACAAAATTTC